ACCAGGGAGAACAATACAATGTGTATAATTGTAATACAGATATATACAGAGACTGGAAAACTTTTCAAAGCCATGGAGATCCTAGTTTTTCCAAATTACCAGGAAACTGCAAGTACAAATAACTTGTGAATTATTTCCTGAATCTTGCTTGCCACAGAAATACAAATATCTAAGTAAGATACAGTTTGGTTATATGGAAGAGAACTGCTATCTCTAGAAGTAAGCGTTTGGCAGAAGGCCTTTATTTTATTTGATGGTTCCCATTAGTTTGCTGGGGAAGCTTTCTGGAGACATTTGGCCCCAGGTTAGCAGTTACAGGTTGGGACATGGGGTTAGGATTTGGAAATCTTAGAAATTCCCCATGAGTGGGGCATCTGGCTGGCTCAGTTGGATAAGCATCCAACTTTGGCTCAGTTCATGATCTCACAGTTCCTGGGTTTGAGCCCCACATCAGACTCTGTGCTGACAGCTCAGAGCCTGGAGCCTGCTTCTGATTCTGTGGATCTGTCTCTCTCTGCCCCTCTCCCACTCATACTCTGTCTCTCTTAAAAATAAGTAAACATTATCAGGAACATGACAGGGATGTCCACTCTCAACCACTGTTGTTTAACATAGTGCTGGAAGTCCTAGCATCACCCATCAGACAACAAAAGGAAATCAGAGGCATCAGAATTGGCAAAGAGGAAGTCAAACTTTCACTCTTCGCAGATGACATGATACTCTACATAGAAAACCCGACAGACTCCACCAGAAGCCTACTAGAACTGATCCAAGAATTCAGCCAAGTTGCAGGGTACAAAATCAACGTACAGAAATCGGTTGCATTTTTATACACCAACAATGAAGCAACAGAAAGAGAAATCAAGAAACTGATCCCATTCACAATTGCACAAAAAACCATAAAATACCTCGGAATAAACCTAACCAAGGATACAAGAGATCTGTATGATGAAAACTATAGAAAACTTATGAAGGAAATTGAAGAAGACACAAAGAAATGGAAAAACATTCCATGCTCATGGATAGGAAGAATAAATATAGTTAAGATGTCATTACTACCTAAAGCACTCTACACATTCAATGCAATTCCAATCAAAATTGCACCAGCATACTTCTCAAAACTAGAACAAACTATCCAAAAATTTGTATGGAACCACAAAAGACCCCGAATAGCCAAAGTAATACTGAAAAATAAAACCAAAACGGGAGGTATCACCATCCCAGACTTCAGCCTCTACTACAAAGCTGTCATCCTCAAGACAGTATGGTATTGGCACAAAAACAGACACATAGACCAATGGAACAGAATTGAGAACTCAGAAGTGGACCCAAAAGTATACAGCCAACTGATCTTTGACAAAGCAGGAAAGAATATCCAATGGAAAAAAGACAGCCTTTTTAACAGATGGTGTTGGGAGAACTGGACAGCAACATGCAGAAGAATGAAACTAGATCATTTTCTCACACCATGCACAAAAATCAACTCAAAATGGATAAAGGACCTGAACGTGAGACAGGAAACTATCAACACCCTAGAGGAGAAAGCAGGAAACAACCTCCTTGACCTCCACCGCAGCAACTTCTTACTTGACACATCCCCAAAAGCAAGGGAATCAAGAGCAAAAATAAACTGTTGGGACCTCATCAAGATTAAAAGCTTCTGCACAGCCAAGGAAACAACCCAGAAAATTAATAGGCAACCAACGGAATGGGAAAAGATAGTTGCAAATGACATATCAGATAAAGGGTTAATATCCAGAATCTATAAGGAACTCACCAAACTACACGCCCGAAAAACAAACAACCCAGTGAAGAAATGGGCAGAAGACATGAACAGACACTTCTCCAAAGAGGACATCCAGATGGCCAACAGACACATGAAACGATGCTCAGCATCCCTCCTCATCAGGGAAATACAAATCAAAACCACACTGAGATACCACCTCACGCCAGTCAGAGTGGCTAAAATGAGCAAATCAGAGAACTCTAGATGCTGGCGAGGATGTGGAGAAACGGGCACCCTCCTACACTGTTGGTGGGAATGTAAACTGGTACAGCCCCTCTGGAAAACAGTGTGGAGGTTCCTCAGGAAACTAACAATAGAACTCCCTTATGACCCAGCAATAGCACTGCTAGGAATTTACCCAAGGGATACAGAAATGCTGAGGCATAGGAGCACATGTACCCCAATGTTCATAGCAGCACTCTCCACAATAGCTAAAACATGGAAAGAGCCTAAGTGTCCATCAACAGATGAATGGATCAAGAAGATGTGGTTTATCTATACCATGGAATACTACATGGCAATGAGAAACAATGAAATCTGGCCATGTGTAGCAACATGGCTGGACCTTGAGGGTGTTATGCTGAGCGAAATAAGTCAGGCAGAGAAGGACAAATATCATATGTTTGCACGTATAGGAGGATTAGGAGGAACTTAACGGAGGAACAAGGGGGAGAAGAAGGGGGGAAATGGTGGGGGAAAGGGAGAGAGGCAAACCCTGAGAGACTCTTGAATGCTGACAAAAACTGAGAACTGATGGATGTGGGGGGGAGGGGGGATGGGCATGGAGGAGGGCACTTGTGGGGATGAGCACTGGGTGTTATGTGGAAACTAATTTGACAATAAACTATTTGTTAAAAAAAAATAAATAAAACATTAAAATTTTTTTTAAAAGAAAGAAATTCCCCGAGTAATTTTAGTTTTCTGAGATACTCATTATGTTGTAATAGGATTTATGGTAGAGATAATGGTACATACATCTGCAAGGAAACAAAAAAGCCCAAGGAACGTTTGCTTGTTTGTGAGCCCACTAGTTCTGATAAGTGAAATAAGGGAGAATACTCTTGAGGTAGACCCAGTGGACAGCCTTGAAATTTTAAACAAAAGTCACAGTTCATTCATGAAAAGTTTGAACATATTTATTTCAAATTTTTGCTTGGGCAAAGGAAAAATTTCATGTGGAATGTGGTTTGTTGTTAAAGACACAGGTATGTAGAATTTTTGCCATTAAATACAGTTCAAGTTTTAATGAAATACTTTTACTTCTTAAAGCAAAGTGGAGCTAATTGCTGATTGGTTGAATTCTTGATAGCTGTTTGAATGGTATTTGCTGGAAGTGGGAAGTTCAGCTCTGAATACAAACAAGTCATGTCCTTCATTGTCTAGATGCCAATATAGAATGTATGACTTAAATATTACAGGTTGTGTATTCAGGTGTGGGATTTTTCTGTTTACTGGACCACTCTTCCTCAGTGGGGCATAAATAACTGTAACTCAGTATTTGTAGCAATTCCACTTCTTCTCTTCTTTCTTAAAAAATTTTATTTGTTAAAATTGATTTATTTATTTTAATAAGTTATATTTATTAAAATTGAGAGGAAGAGAGAGATTCCCAAGCGAGTTCCGCTGTGGGGCTTGAACTCGCAAACTAGGATATCAGGACCTGAGCCGAAATCAAGAGTCGCTTAATTGACTGACTGAGCCACTTAAGCACCCACATTCTTTTTGTGTTCTCCATCTCCTTAAACAATGGTTGCCTTCCCAAAGTCATACTGGATCCTCCTTTCTTACATCAATGTCAAATGTATCACTAGGTCTTTCTGTCTAATTTTGTCTCTATGTCCATGCTTAATTGCTTTGGTTCAGATAACATCACTCAGGTTTTTGAAACAGCCTCCTCACTTGTCTTACTGCTTGTTGCTTTTTTGTTCCTCTACCTTCTGTGGAACTTGAGTTTCTGTGGAACTATTTGATTGCATCACTCTCAGTTGAAACTTCCAGTGGCTCCTAAATACAGGCATATTCTGGTTTTCATGCCTGTCTTCATAAATGGTGTTCTACTTTGGAACCTTCTTTCTTTTCTGTTCCCATCTTGGTGTCGTAATCTCTTATTTTTTAAAGCTTATTCCAATCTCTGCTGAAGCCTTCCCTGACTCCTCAAATTCCTTGATCCTTTTCTGTAATTCCATATTGTTTTTTCAATACTGCTACTTAGAATTTATCTTGTCCGGTTATAGTTTACTTGTTTACATGATTTCCTTCTTTTTAGGCTATGAATTCTGAGACAAGGACAGAGCAGTTCAGGTTGGCTAATAATAGATACCTACTAAAAGTGTTTATGCTTGGAGCCCCTTCTTTTGCCTGTTCTGGTGAGGAGTTAGTTTTCTAAGACCATCTTCCTCAGATGTATCCTAGATCCCATTCCCCTACTCAAAGACAAGCACAGAAGTTGGCAATAACATTGTTAAGTTTATTCGTAACCAGAGGAGAGGGGCAGAATTCATGTCAGAGTGGTGAGGAGACCTTGAAATCATGTCAGATGGTGAGCAGTAGGAGGAACTAGAATATTTAGCCAAAAGGAAAGAAAAATCAGGTGGAATATTATTATGACAGTAACCAAATATTTGAAAGGCTGTCATGTAGAAAAATTATTAATCTTAATCATTGTGCCTCCAGAGGGCAGCTGTAGGATGAATATGTAGCATTTTTAAGGCTCAGCATTAAGAAGAGCTTTCTGAACATTATAAGCTGATTTACTATATCAGAGGATTTTTCATGAGTGGACCTATGAAAATTGGGGCAGAGTGACCAGGAATTTGAAGTACTATGAAGTAGATTTTGCTATGTCTGGCAAGAATTGACCATGCTGAAGAGTATTCAGTTTTCTTGATTTAGTTCTAAGTTCCATTACCATGAATTTTAGAAACGTAGTTATTGTTGAGGGTTAAAACCGTTTTCTGTACATTCATAATAATTTTAAGCTCTTCTTATGTGCCACCTGTTGAGCATTCAGAGTTCAGTAGTAGTCTCTTGCTCTCAAGTAGCTTGTATTTTTAAATGAGAAGATTCTTGAGCTTTTCTTCTTTTTAATTTTTGAGGAGCCAGTGTGTAATTTCTATTCTGATTATTTTTAGGATTCATAATTCTAAAAAATCAGTTGTGAGATTTACTTCCCCTTCAGATACTAAAATTGTTTTTCTTTCCTTTTTATTCCCAGCAATGTCTCAGGCTGTGCAGACAAACGGAACTCAACCATTAAGCAAAACATGGGAACTCAGTTTATATGAATTACAACGAACACCTCAGGTAATGTATAGACTAAGGTAACTAGGAAGAAATATGACACATCTGTAAACTGGTATACACTTTTAGAAGATGAATACTTGAAAGAATATAGCGGTAATAATGAATTTATATACAAGCAGCCTTGACTTGTGTATGTTTGGTTTACATTTCATTCATTGATTAAACAATTTAAGTGCATACTCTGTCCCAGGTCCTAAGCGAGGCACTAGGTGAAGTGGTGAATAAAATAGATGTGGCACCAGCTTATGGGAGTTTATAGACATTAAACAAATATCCATAGAATTATACACTTTAGAGGTTATGTAAATGGAGAAATGCCTCAGCGCTACTGTAACATATAATAATGGAAGGAGGCATTAAGGGAGACCAAGAAGGTGAAGATGGGAGGGCACTTGGTTGACTTAGTCGGTGGAGTGTGCAATTCTTGATCTCTGAGTTGTAGGTTCGAGCCCCACATTGGGTGTAGAGATTACTTAAAATCTTTTAAAAGAAAAAAGGGAAGGTGAAGATGGGAAAGACTGGGGAGTAGCAGATTTGAAGGAGATAAACATACTTAAAACTGAACTCATTTTGAGATGCCTGTAAATCAGGCAGGCATAGGTGCTAACTAGGAGTCTGGACTAACTATAAGATTTTGGGTGTTGTCAGCACATTTTAAACAGTGATAATGGATAAGATAACCTGGAAACCTGGAGAGAGATGATCAGAAGGGCCCAGAACTTCATTCAGGGTAGCTTCAGCATTTAGAAATGAAGTAATAGAAAAGAAGCCAGCGAAGGAAACTGAAAGGAACAGCCAAAACAAAGGAAAATAGGGGATCAGAATCTAAGAGGAGTTGTGTCAGGAGGGAGGATGTAGTTAGTGTGTTCAACACTACCTAGAGGATGAGCAAGATGATGATTACAAAAGTGTACATTGAACGTGGCAAAGTATACTTCGTGACCTTGACAGGAGTAAATTCACTTGAATAGATTTTACTACGTTGAAGAGGAAAAAAGTGAAAATGTATAGGCAATTTTCCAGAGAAGTTTGGCTGTGCAGAGAAGTTGAGAAGTGGAGTAAAAACTGTAGGGGAACATGGAGTTCGTAAGTTTTAAATTTTGTTTTGTTTATAAGATGGGAGATAAAGGTGCACCAAGGATACCCCCACCCACAACTCTGCACTGTTCTGAGGCGTATCATTCACATTTCACTATACATAGCAACCCCATACAGATGCTACTCTAGGCTGATTTAGTGGAGAGCCAAAGATGGCTGAAGCCTGAGAGCAAATAAAATAATCAAAAGGATATACTTGAAAAGGTAGGAAGGAATGTATCTTTGATAGGTAGAGGCATGTTTTCTCCTTTTAGCAAGAAAGAAGATGATGATTTAAAAAGATGTCATAAAGGAGCACCTGGGTGGCTCAGTCAGTTAAGCTCCGAGTTTGGCTTAGGTCATGATCTCACAGTTTGTGAGTTCGAGCCCTGCATCGGGCTCTGTGCTAACAGCTCAGAGACTGGAGCCTGCTTCAGATTCTGTGTCTCCCTCCCTGCCCCTCCCCTGCTCATATTCTCTTATTCATTCTCTCTTTCTCTCTCTCTCAAAAAATAGGCATTAAAAGTAATTTTAAAAAAAGATGTAGAGAGAAAATGAGAGCACTCTCATAATGAAATTTGAGGTAAGATAATCTTTTCAGTGTTCAGATGTAGAAAGTTCTGCAGATAGAAGAAAAGGTATAAAATGGCATAGAAAAAACAAGTTGGTTGCAAGAGAATTGCTGAGCTATGTTGAACACCCATTTGAAACTGGGGAAATTTTTAGTGATACTAGTCTGGTTGTAGGATTCCCCCTTTTCTTCCACAGTGCTACACACCTGCACTTGTGCAGACATGGAGAACATGGGTGGTTGATTTTATCCAGGGCTGGGATTTTGCTAGGCAAGTTCTAAAGAGGAAGAGGACAGACTTGGTTACTAGCTCAGCTGTCATACTCGGAGTGATAAGTTTCTTCATCAAAAATTTGTGTGTATATTAAATTAAGTAAAAGAAAATACTGAAAGTGCTTTATATAGAGAGGTTAAAACATAGTAAGACACTCAGAAATAGTGGTAGTTATTGTAAATGTAAATGTATTTTACTTGAGTCCTTTATGGACATTATCTATAGTTTCTGTCTTTCCTTATAGGGTCATCATTCTTTGACCCTGTAGAGAAAACATAAGTATGGAGAACCAGTGGAAACAGGAAGTGTCAGTAACATATAGGAAGCCATTTATTTCTGTCTGACCTTCCTTTTTTTCTGGACCTCTTTCCTCAATCCGTAGGAGCACGGAGTTCTGACTTTTAGAGCTAGGTAAATTTGTACTCAGTGCCGCCTTGTGGGAAGGGTGGGTAGTGGTGGTGGTGATGAAGAAAGGAGGAGTCACAAATGTCTCTGCCGCTGAGAGGTGTGTAATGAAATTCTACATTGGAACTCCAAATGCATTTTTGCACTGGAACATTTTTACACATTTCAATTAGAAATACTAATACTGGTACTTTGGATTAAATTAGTTTGTAGGTTAACCTGAGAACCTGACCACTTTGTATAAAACTACATGTGTAGATCAAGGCTTAAGGTTCAAGAAATGACTTAAAAAATTTTTTTAATGTTTATTTTTGAGAGACAGAGTTTGAGCAGGGAGGGGCAGAGAAAGAGAGGGAGACAGAATCCGAAGCAGGCTTCAGGCTCTGGGCTCCAACTTACGAATCATGATCTGAGCTAATGGGATGCTTAACTGACTGAGCCACCCAGGCACCCCCTCAAGAAGTGATTTTCAAATTAAACCCTGTTGAACTGTCTGTAAATTAGAGAATACGTTAATGGATGGTGTGAAATACATAGTTTGTTATTAGAATGGATGGTGCAATTTGTGAAGATAGAAGCATTAAATTTTATTTAGCCTTAGCTTCCTCATTTTGCAGGTAACAACAATGTTAAATTATGATTTAGAGTCACATTAATAGGTCTAGAACTAGAACCAAAGGCATCTGATTCCAAATTCAATGCTTTTTTTTTTTATTATGCCAAGTTGATTTACCATTTCTTACTTTTTAAACACATTACTGTATTTTAGCATTAAAATAAGAGCATGATATAGTAACAGTGGTGGGGGCCTGAGGGCTTTCGGGGAGATTATGGTCAAACAAGGTTGACTGTGAGCTGACAGTGGTGATAGCCACGTGATGTGTACATAAACGTTCATGTTGGTCATTCTTAGTACTTTTGTATGTTTGCACTTGTCCATAATAAGATAGGTGGTGTCTAATGTTCAAGTGACTGTTCTACAGGAGGCGATAACAGATGGCTTGGAAATTGTGGTTTCACCCCGAAGTCTACACAGTGAATTAATGTGCCCAATTTGTTTGGATATGTTGAAGAATACCATGACTACAAAGGAGTGTTTACATCGTTTTTGTGCAGACTGCATTATCACAGCCCTCAGAAGTGGGTATGTTGAAACGAGTTATACTAGGTACTTAAATTATGCAAGCATGGTGCTTTATGAGAGTTTTGAGAAATACATTCTCTAGTATTTGTTTGAGAACTTGATACTTCTAAAGTCTAAGTTTTAATTACTGGAGAATCTTTGTTTTGAAACAGTTTATTTTACACAATTTTAAAAGCTTTATAGCATGAGTATTTGTTTTGAGGAAATTACAAAGCAAGAAACCATGGTTTTTCTACTTCTGAATTATTTAAAATAATACCCCTATGAATGCTATTTTAATAAAAGAATTGATACATAAATTAATATATATTAGTGGGCAGTTTTTCCTTCTTGTGGCATGGATATCGGGGAATTTATATTAACAAGGAATAGATTTTTATTTCTAAGTAGATTGTATATAAATTATCATTGGGAAGTATTCACATTTTTCTCTGTTAGCAAATACTGTTGAGTGTCTCAAGTTTTCAAAATCTTGCTTACCCTCAAAGAAATTCAGGTTAATCAGTTTAAATTTCTGTGACTTAGTAAAGGTATTGGAATAAAGATAACTACCCACAAGGTGGATAATTTTGTTGTTAGCCCAAAGATACTGACATTGTTTTCATTTTCTTTCCCCTCTTTTTATTTAGCAATAAAGAATGTCCTACCTGTCGGAAAAAGCTAGTTTCTAAAAGATCACTAAGGCCAGACCCAAACTTTGATGCACTCATCAGCAAAATTTATCCAAGTCGTGATGAGTATGAAGCTCATCAAGAGAGAGTATTAGCCAGGATCAACAAGCACAATAATCAGCAAGCACTCAGTCACAGCATTGAGGAAGGACTGAAGATACAAGCCATGAACAGGTACATGAGAAAGGAAGCCAGAGATGGTGGCCATTTTTCTGAATACTTTTATTAAAATATTGGATTTACTTAACAGCTTCCACTTTGAAAAAGATAAAATGCAGTTGTAAATAGTAGTTCTTCATGGTTACTTTTCCATGCAGGCATAATATATGCTTTCATTTGTAATAGGGTATTCCTTTCTATTCTCTCTCGTACCCACTTCTCTCTCCACTTACCATTCCTTTTCTCCTCTTAATTTCTATAGCACAACTGCTTGAAAAAGTTGTCTGTTCTCATGGTCTCCAGTTCTTCTCGCATTCTATTTTGAATCCTCTGTAATCAGACTTTTATCAAACCCTCTCCCAACCTCATATCCCTCATCAGATTTTCTGGTGATCTCCACATTGCAAAATCTAACTGCTAATTCTCACACCTCATTTTTCCATCTTATTTAAAAGCATTTGACACAGTTAATTTCCTTTTGAAGGGTGTTCTTCACCTGGCTTTTAGGAGATGATAATCTCCTAGTTCCTTTTGTATGAATTAGCTATTCTTTAACTCCAATTTAACATGTCCAGTACTGAACTTCTTAACTTTTTTTAAGTTTATTTATTTTGAGAGAGAGAAAGAGAGAGAATCCCAAGGAGGCCCCATGCTGTTAGTACAGAGCCTGATGCAGGGCTTGAATTCATGAACTGAGATGATGACCTGAGCCAAAATCAAGAGTCAGATGATTAACCAACTGAGCCACCCAGGGCCCCATACTGAACTTTTTATTCATACCTCCTACTTGTCTTCATTCTTGATCATTTCAGTTGATGGCAACCTTGCCATTACACTTGCTTTCCCCCAAAACTTTGAAGTCACCCTTAACTCTTCTCTTTTTTTTCCTCACATTGTGCATTTAAATCTGTGAATAAATATATTTTTAACTTTTTCCATAATGTATCCAGATTGGTCTAGGCCACCACCATCTTTCATTTGAGTATTAAAATAGCCTATTTGGTCTTTCTACTTTCCATGCTTATCTTTACAAAGTCTATTCTCAGCACAGCAGCCAGAGTGATTCTGTTAAATTGAAAGTCAGAGCATGGTTCTCCATTGCTCTGAAGACTCTAATATCTATATTCTGTTCACTTCCAGGCTAAAGACTATAATGATGGCCTCCAACACCCTGCATAATTTGGACACTTACCCTCATTCTTGTTTCCTTTCTGATACTTTTTTTAAAATACAATTTATTGTCAAATTGGCTAACATACAGTGTGTAAAGTGTGCTCTTGGTTTGGGGGTCGATTCCTGTGGTTTATCTCTTACATATAACACCCAGTGCTCATCCCAAGAGCCCCTCCTCAATGCCCATCACCCATTTTCTTCTCTCCCTCCCCCTAATCAGCCCTCAGTTTGTTCTCTATATTTAAGAGTCTCTTATGGTTTGCCACCCTCTCTGTAAGTATATTTTTACCCCTTCCTTTCCACCATGGTCCTTTCTTATACTTATTCATATATTTAGGCCTCAGTTGAGAGTCCTCATTTTCCAAAGTAGGAGATGGCAATAAAGCCCCATCCCAGTCTAGTGTTTCTCACTTTGGTTAAACATCACAGAAAGTTTTAAAATTCTCGGGTCCCTGGTACCATCTGAAACCAAGTAAATCAGAATCTTTAATTGAGGTCCAAGCATTGTTATTTTTAAGGTTTTAGAACGGTTCTGAAGAAGATGTGCTGCATTCTAACTATATTAAACTGGCTTACAGCTCTGATTAGCAAAGTAAAATAAAGTGTTAAATGTTGAATGCAGTTATTTTAAAAGAGTTATATACATTTCTAATAGTTTGAGGGATTTTAATTGTTGTTCATTTTAGTCTTTTAAAAGCAGGAGAAAGAATTCCCTTTGCAAAATTTTTTATAGATAGTCCTTTGATTTTGGTTGAGCATTTCTAGTGGCGGTAGTACATGACAGAAGCTCCTTTCATTTGTTTGCAGCTTTTTCCAGCTTCTGTGCTGTTCTTCAAATTTCCCCAGCAGGCTTTTGTGCTCTGTAAAGAACCCTTTTCCAGATAATGCACATGGCAGTCTCTGACTTTCTTCAGGTTGCTAAGTTCCCATCTTCTACCTCAACACTCCATACCTTCTTACCCTCCCTTCTTCATTTTTCCCTTCAGCACTTATTCTCTGACATATGTGTTTTCTTCTGCGCTAGAATAATACAAGCCCTTAGAGGGTAGAGACTGTCACTATTATTGATTCTTACAACCCCAGTGCACAGAACCATGGTTGGCTTATAAAGTAGCTGTTCATGGGGCCCCGAGGTGGCTGTCAGTTAAACGTCTTTGACTTTGGCTCAGGTCATGATCTTCAGTCATGATTCATGGGTTTGAGCCCTGCATCAGGCTCTGGGCTGACAGCTCAGAGCCTGGAGCCTGCTTCAGAGTCTGTGTCTCCCTCTCTCTCTCTGCCCCTCCCCTGCTCGCGCTCACTTTTAAGACAAAATAATATTTCACTGTATCTGTTCATATCTTCTTGAATCGTAGTTTTGTCTTAATATATTACTGATCCCCGTTTAATTTTAAAGTGATGTATAGATTTCATAAGCAGGATTATATGTGTGTGTTTTTGTTGTTTTTTTAAAAAGTAAAGGTTCTTGAGCATGTTTCCCAAGCAGTGGGCTGTTATTTCCTTGTTCCGGTAGTCAACATGTAATAGCGATAGTGTCTTAGGAGTACAGGTCATTTCTGCGTATTTCTTTCATATACAGGTTGTGGGGGGCGGGCAGTGTGCTAGAGCGCATATCACATCCTAGGTCTAGTTCTGGCACTTACGAGCTTATAACCATGGTGCTTTGAACTTCATTTTCTTGGGTTTTCTCAACTATAAAATGATGATAATAACTATCTTGACTACTGTTTTGATGAGTAAATCAGATGTAAAACCCAGAGCACCTTGCCCAGTTAGTGTTTTGTTTTCTAGGCATTTAAAGTTGTCAGACTGCTTTTCTATCCATGCTTGTCATTTAGATGCCATCTCCTTTTTCTCACTAGAAAATTTTATATTAGCAGACTTTGAGTGAGGTTGGCAGGGAGGGAGTGCTTTGAGTTCGTCTTGAATCTTGTTTCCTTATGAACTTCGAATTAAAAGGGGCACAAATATCTTCGCTCAGTACTTTTAAACTTTCATTTCTGAATCATGACTTTCTTTAGATTTAAAAGCTCATAACAACAAATTATCAAAATACAAATAAGGAATTGGCAATAATTCTGATAGTAAATAAAGAAAATTATTAAGTAAATATAAACATTTGTTTGAGTTATTCAAATATGTATGTGTGAGTGAGGTTCTTTCATACCTTCTGGGACACGAGGGAAATAAATGCCATTATCCAACTTGATGCAGATTCAATTATGAAGACTTAGAATTCTGAAGTTCAGTAAACATGTTTCAAAATTGATGTTGAAAAGGTCCAAATGTAAGTTTTATGCAACCCCTTATTTTTCCTTAACTAGATTACAGCGAGGCAAGAAACAACAGATTGAAAATGGTAGTGGAGCAGAAGACAACGGTGACAGTTCTCACTGTAGTAATGCATCCACACACAGTAATCAGGAAGCAGGACCTAGTAACAAACGGACCAAAACATCTGATGATTCCGGGCTTGAGCTTGATACTAACAATGCAACAGTGGCAATTGATCCAGTAATGGATGGTGCTAGTGAAATTGAATTAGTATTCAGGCCTCATCCCACATTAATGGAAAAAGATGATAGTGCACAGACAAGGTAAGTGTGTAGGTTAGCTTCAGATTGTCTGAATTTTTAATATTGAATTTGGAATTAAAAAGGAGTTTTACATAAGAAGTAAGGGCAGTCGTTGTTAGGTAATTGATTGCCAGGGTTCATTTGGATATTCTGGCTGCCTAGATTGTTATTTTCTTCCTTCTTCATGTGCTTCCCATCCACATTTGTGTATCTAAAAGGAATGATGCTTCTAGGTAGAGGGGGATGAAGAGTTATTTAAATGATACTAGGGTTACCAGTAGGCTCCAAAATTCATACTGGCAAAGATGGCTATTTTACCATTTATTGCAAGCACATTGCCTATCATTGAGGTCAGATAATTATCAAATATTTGTTCAGTGAGTGATTGAATGGTATACCATGCTTAAAATTTTTTTTCAAGGTTAGTGCTTCTGGGCTCTGTCTTCAGAACCAGAAAATCGATCAATTCTTAGCAAGAAATTTGCTCATATTCTTTCTATTCCTCTTGCTGCTGTAGATGACAGAATTCTGCTCTTTGGGGTTGAGGGGTATGTTCTTTGCCCCCTGTAGTTCTCCTTGTATTTGTTTGATTTTTGTCATTTGTATCATTTATGGATGATAAGGTAGGTAGAGCTTTCATGTCCTTATAGACAGATGTTGAGTATGTACCTTTTCCTCTTCTGTACCTTTCAGTAAAAAAAGTTGAGGTAGTAAAGAAACACATTTTTGATACTATTTTGTCAGTAATTGAGACACTTAACATTTTATTTAGCTTGTTAGAAACATATTCTGTAATTTGAGTATGTTTTTGTCATGAATGTAGAAATTATATTTTTAATGATTTATTTTTCCAGATACATAAAGACTTCAGGTAATGCCACTGTTGATCACTTATCCAAGTATCTGGCTGTGAGGTTAGCTTTGGAAGAACTTCGAAGCAAAGGAGAATCAAACCAGATGAATCTTGATACGGCCAGTGAGAAGCAGTATACCATTTACATAGCAACAGCCAGTGGGCAGTTCACTGTGAGTATTTAAAAGAATAGCTGTTGAAACTGGAAGCACATTCACCATCTGAGACTGGCAGGTGGTTTGGTGGAGTCTAAGAAAAGTGGTTAAGGACCCCGAGACCCTGACAGGATGAGAAATTCCAATGGTGTAGTTACTGTTTTGATATCTTTTGGTTGTTCTTTTATGAATAGTCTAAGTGACAAGTTTTATCCTAAGATGAAAAAATATGGGCTTTTATGTTTGTTATACCTCACTACTGTGCTTTAAGCAGTTTTCTAATTCTTTCTTTTTCTGTTTTAGGTATTAAATGGCTCTTTTTCTTTGGAATTGGTCAGTGAGAAATACTGGAAAGTGAACAAACCCATGGAACTTTATTATGCACCCACAAAGGAGCACAAATGAGCTTTTACTAAAACCAAGTCTGAGAATGAACTTTTTTTATAGCCTATTTCTTTAATATTAAAGATGTAACAACGTCTTTACTTTTATGGACAGAATCTTGGATATGTTGTTCAGTTTTCTTTCTGAGCCAGACTCGTTTACACTATTAGAATCTTTTCCCCTTAATTTAAGATTTCCTTTTTGGAAGGGACTGCAGTTATTCAATTTCTTCTTTCCTTTTAAAAATAATCTAAGTTGTATGTTTTCACAAAGTATGGTTCCATTTGGAGCACCCTTTTGACCCAGGAATTTTTCATAGTTCTGTATTCTTAAGATTCAGTTGGCTGTCCTTTTCCCTCCCCTCAAAAGTTTTTTAGGCCTACAGAATGTTAAATAATATGTATTTTGACTTTTTTTCCTGGAGTCTTGTATATTTATAGTTTTCTATATAAGCTGTAGTATCTTCATGAAGACCAAGGCTCAAATTTACTGTGCTTAAAAAACAATTCTCATAGGATTATTATTTTCATGGTATTTTCTTCCATAAAAATCTCATTTTTTAAAAAGGTTCTTTATGAACTTAGTGTCCATTGTCATGCAATGTTGTTTTTTTCCATTTTTTCCCTCTAATTTTGGAGTTTCTGATCCTGGGAAAGAAACAAAATGTCAAGTTCTCTGAGAACTTGGTTCATTTACAGATTTCACTGAAGAAAGAAAGAAAAATTAAATTGGTCTTATGTAGTCTTTAAGTGTATATTTAAAGAGATCTTTTTTGTATTAGCTTTACTGTCACTTCAGTTTCTTTATTATGTGTGTTTAATGTTTTTTCCTATTAAAATATCAGAGATATGGAGATATTTTGCACTTTAGCCTTGATGAAAAGTACAAGATATGTTCAAAGCTTCCCTGATTCTTTTCTTATTGGTAGCCGCATAAGTTTCAAGAATGACATGGCACATAGAACTAACAGTTGGGGGAAAAACGTTTGCTTCTGTTTGAAAAGTGTGTTCAGCATTTTGGGTGGCCCTATCAGTTTATAAATTTGGTGCTCTGCTAATCACACTCTAGAGAAGCAAGTTAATGGAACTTGAGCCCTGCCCTAGTCAAAGATTATTCTGTAAAAGAATATTGGCAAATCTCTTCTTAATTTAGTTTTATATTGAGGGACAATGTTGGGCTTTTGGAGCCAGAAGGCTTTATGAAGACAGATCAGAAATATGATTGACTTGTGTGTTACTTATGTCACTGTCCTGATTCCAGGTATGTTTCCAAGTTTATAATAATCACAGTATTTGCAAAGACTTGTTTGCATTGAGAAATTAACCCCAATGGGATTTTTGGGCTTTGTTTTCTGTTTTTGGCCAGGGGTGAGTAGTCCTTCAGTACCTTTGTAACTAAATAAACTGTCTAGTCATTGTACACAGTTATCTGTCGTTTTTGACAGATTGGGGCCAGCTTGATGTTTTAAATCTTTAGCCCAATATGAAAACCTAAAAGCTCATTAAATTTTTTACCCTTTTATTGAAAATATTTACAATCTGTTTCTACAGTTTTATTGGTAATCTGTGCCATGAAATTTGAAGACCACCAAAAATCAAAGGAAATTTTGTATTCAGTTCCTTTTCTGGTGTAATGTTAAAGTTGTATAGATTATTAATGCATGTCCACTGAATATAACCCTGGTTTTGTGATATAACTGCGTAGATTTTATTGGTGATATTAGATTAGTGGTTGCATTAAATAACTAAATTCCCATTGTAATTAATTGAAATTTTGTCTTGTTGCAGAAAATTGTGAATATAAGCGTTGTGCTTAGAGAATGTATGTGTTTCTGTCCGTATGGGAGGATGTAAACTTTGCATCATTAGTGAATTTATTAGATTTGTAATCCTTTGCAAAGTATAGTGGGTATTTGATAGAGCATTGAGTGTATGTACGTGTGCGTGTGCACGTGTGCACATGTGCACATGCGCATGCTGGTGGGTTAGGTACTGTTCACCATCACTACCAGTCAAGGTTCTGTAAAATATTCTCTATGTAACCTCTATACCCACCCTTTCAGTTGAGGAACAAAAGGCTCACCAAATGTGGTAAGGGCCTTTGGATACATTATCAATTTAAAATTTATTATGATAAAATGTGCATAACTGAATTTTCAATTTAAACCATTTTTATATATACAAATCAGTGGCATTAATTTAAGTAAATTCACAGTGTTGTGTACATCATCACTATCTAGTTCTAGAGCTTTTTCAGTATCCCAAACAGAAACTCGGGACCCATTAAACAGTAGCTCCCTACTCCTCTCCCCATCCTCACCCCCCCAAGCCCCTGGTAGCCTTTCTTCTCCTTTCTTTCTTTGTATTTGACTAAGGTACCTTTTATAGGTGGAATCATATATTTGTCCTTCTTGTCTTACTCATTTAGCATAATGAAATTTTTATGGAAGCATCAACATTTTTATCCAAGTATCTGTTTGTGCCCCTATTAATTTTTTGAGGAACCCGAAACAGTTTTCCACCAGGGCTGCACCATTTTATATTCCCACCAGCAATGTACAAGGATTCCAGTTTCTCCACATTTTCACCAACACTTACTATTTTTGTTTTGTTTTTTGTTTTTAGTAGCTATCCTGATGTACAAAGTGTTAATTTCATTGTGGTTTTGATTTGCATTTTCCTAATGGCTTGTGATACTACCTAAGCATCTTTTCATATGCTTATTGGCAGTTTGTATATCTTCTGTGGAAAAATATCTTTTCAGGTCTTGCGCATTTTTAATTGGGTTTTGTTTTCTTGTTGAGTTGTAGGAGTTTTGAAAATCTATTCTGGATATTAATCTATTATCAGATAAATGATTTACAAATATTTTATCCCATTCTATGGGTTGCCTTTTTACTCTCTTCATAGTATCCTTGATGCACAAAATTTTTAAAGTTTAGTTTGCCTATTTTTGTTATTGCCTATGCTTTTGGTGTCCTATCCAAGAAAGAATTGCCAAATCAGTGTTACGAAGATCCTCCTATATGTTTTCTTTCTTCTTAGAGTTTTAAAGTTTTAGCTCTTTAAATCCTTTGACCCTTGTAAAGATCATGTATTCCTTGTACATTTTAGGAATTGAGGTTCAGGATTCTGATTTGGATAACTAAATATGGAATAATTGAAATGCCAGATGAGAAAACACATCTTTTCCAAATCCTCTCACATTTCTACTTGGAAGTACAGTAAAACCTTGATTTGCAAGCATAATTTGTTCTGGAAACATGCTTGTAATCCAAAGCCACTCATATATCAAAGCGAATTTCGAGAACCAATGGCTCAGTTGTGATCATGCGATTTTCAGCGCAGGTACTACTCCTAGTGCAAGACATCATGCGTTTATCAAGTTAAAATTTATTGGAGATGTTTGCTTGTCTTGTGGAACACTAGCAGAACAGGTGACTCCCAATTCAAGGTTTTCCTATACGCTCTGAGTCTTAGAAACAGGTGTGTAGTTGTCACTGGAAAAATTACTTGAAAACTCTTCTGAATTAATAGAGTAAGGACTTCTGGAAATCTCTTCCATAAAAGCAGTGAGAACATTGTAAATGTCAAAGTCAAGTTTTTCAGAAGTCTAAAATTGAACTAAAGTCTTTCAGTAATGGAAAAAGCATCTATTCAGTTAAAACTGTAATATAAACTTTGTAGCATTATAAGGGTAGCCTTGAAAAAGAATAGTCTTGCAACTATGGTAGTAGTGGAAACCCGCAGCCTTGTAGCCACTGTAAAGGGTTTACAGCTCCCTAAAAAGCCCACCCCAGAGAATTGTCATTATCTGATCTGTCTAGTTTTTCACTGAATAGCTCTAGTTCCAGAACTTGTCTTTATTTGATGTGACTCTGCCCACATTGTATACAGCACTATGTACAACCTGTTGTTTAAAAAGTTTCAATTATTTAACAGATTCTTTGAGGCACTGATACCAATTGGGACTAAAAAGAAGGCCAAAAAAATAAAAAGAAAAGCTGAGGAATGACATGTCTCTAGAGGACTTTCACAACTTCAGCATATTTCTGTGAATATAGAAGGCCATGTGCATGTTCATGGTTGTGTGCATGCCCAAGAAGAAAAAAAAGGAAGTCGCTAATTTTACATGTGGCACTGCTTGAGTCTCTGCAAGCGGGAAGTGAAGGCTAAGGTAGAGTTGAAAAAGCTTCATGTTGGGTGTTGAAGGCATGTCTCCACACATTTACAGAGCACTTCAGCAAGGTGAGGGGAGTTATGTTATTGTTTCAAGGACCTTAAGGAAAGCTCTGTTCAATCTTACCTTACTTCTAATGAAGCAGAATATATAGTGGTCACACATAGCAAAGAATGCAGGCTTCACAGAATTAGTCCAGGAAGGTCATTCAGGACCTTGAGGAGGTGAAAGGATTCTGTTGTCCAGAGTTGGCACATTATATTATTTTGAATGTCTACTTTTCAACAAAAAGTTACAGTACATGCAAAGAAACCGGGAAGTGTAGGATACCCAGATGTTGGACTTTGTTTATTAAACAAAGACTTTAAGTTAGCCTCTAAAAATGTGTCCAAAGAACTAAAAGAAACCAGATCTTAAAAACTAAGTGTGAGAACAATTTTTCACCAAATAGAGAATAACATTAGAGAGAGAAATTATGGTAAAAGACCCACATAGAAATTTTGGAATGAAAAAGTACAATGAAATAAATTTCATTTAAAAATTCCTGAGGTGGGGGCGCCTGGGTGGCTTAGTCGGTTAAGCGTCCGACTTTCGCTTAGGTCATGATCTCGCGGTTCGTGGGTTCGGGCCCCGTGTCTGGCTCTGTGCTGACTGCCAGCTCAGAGCCTGGAGCCTGTTTCAGTCTGTCCCCCTCTCTCTCTGACCCTCCCCTGCTCACGCTGTCTCTCTCTCTCCTAGAAATAAATAAAACATTAAAAAAAAAAAAATTAAAAAAATAAAAATTCCTGAGGTGTTTGGGGCGCCTGGGTGGCTTAGTCGGTTAAGCGTCTGACTTTTGCTTAGGTCATGATCTCGCGGTTCGTGGGTTCGAGCCCTGCGTCGGGCTCTGTGCTGACTGCCAGCTCAGAACCTGGAGCCTATTTCAGAGTCTGTATCT